AACATGGCGGACGAAGAGCAACTTTGGCTCCTATTAATCATTATTTTGCGCAGGCAGAGACAATACAGGAATAATATCGTTCGAAAAAGAAAGAAATTTTGGGTTCGTGATATCTATCGACGTCGAGCAGCTTAGGAAGAGTATGCTAACCTCGTCAGCGAACCACGACTTGGTGATCGTGAATTGTACTTTCGGTAGGTTTCGAGTATTTTAACTCTTAATTTCATAATTTTACAGTCAAGCTCACACGTTTAAATTTGTTATGACTATTTGTGCATTTTGGAAAGATGGAATCGAGCATTGTGATTGGTTTATTCTTCCGCTTCCGCTTCCGACTCGGACAATGCAGTTTTCACTAGATCGTAAGCGATGGAGTCATAGGCAGAATCGGTGTTCTGCTTCCGACTCCGTCGGTTTGATTTTCACTAGTTCATATCGCTCTACGCTTCTGATTACGACTCCGACTACGACTCCGTCGCAAGTGAAAACCAGCCCTTAGAGTTTTTAAACCTTTTACAATCTAATATCAGGTTACCGCGTCAGAATTCCTTGTGATGCAATATATTTGGATTGGCCCCGCGCGGCGATGTAAAAGCTTTGCACGTTGTCAGTAATCCACACGCACGGAAGAGCTAGCGATTAGTGAACTGAGGTATGTCTGCAGCCACTGAGTATTTCATCGGTTTTCGGCATCTCATGGTCTCGGTAATTACGTTTCTGAGGACATCTTTTATGAGCTGTCGGAAAAACCGAAAACTCTCCCGGGATATGGGCAAACCCAATGGCAGAAGTTCTTGAAAATCGAGTTTTCCGGGTTCATGTGAAGAGCCCCTGACTATTTGTTATTCACCTAAAAAAATACACTTTCACAAAGATCTTTATAATGACTGTCACCTGATGTCGACACTACCCGAAAATTAGGGTGATGACCGCGAACTTAATACATGGATAGCGTAGCACTGTATCTATACCCGGATCATGAACTTTGTACGTGGATAGTGTAACATTGTATCTTTACCCACGGGATCATGAAACCTTCTCAAGTGTGCCGAATGCTCCTCAAAACTGCAGTACACTTTGAACGGTGTATGTTTAAACTATGCCCTGTCATGTACTTTAACACTTGCAGTGTGCTTTAATATCTTTGGTGAACTGATACACCTATTTTTTAGGTATATCTCTTTACATTTGTAGTACCGGAAATGTTTACTATTTTTTGTTGTTTCCTGTTGCTGTTGTTGTTTTTTTTTTTAATAGTCTGCTCTGGTAGGTTGACTTGTCACGACGCCTGACGTTGTTGAAAACTTTCGATTTATAGGACATAATTTTGTTCCTCGTTTAGCTCGCAATTTAAGCAAGGGAGCGGGGTATTGAAAAAGGATTCGTGCGCGAAGAACGAAGGGAGCTTGAAATGCGAAGAGAGCGCCAGCGAGATCGTTAAAAAGTCTTAACAATATTTCAGGAACCCCAAGTTCTAGCGATCGTACGTCACTTACGCTCCGCGTCACGCGAACAAGAGGCGTGAGTTAGGTCTCTTATTTGGTAAAAAAACACTGATCTAAGGAATCCGTTATAAACATTTTTGGCACAAAGAAACCCTCGGGCCTATTGAGGTAGCTGCAGGGGTTTCATTATTGTCAATGTTTGTGTTAATTTGAACCGAGGCATATCTTAATGTGCCTTGTTTAAACTGCCAAAGTGGCGATATTGCGACCGAATGACAATTTTTTCCTTTCTGCGAATCTAAGAAAGCACAGGTAAGAAAAATTAAGACATCCTTCTTTCGTTAAAGTGGCCAGATCCTTTAAACAGCATGTATTGGGTGTGATCCTCTTAAAAAATGTTGTGCATTACTTATGGGAAATTATACTGAACATGCAAAGGAAGGTTTTTCTTGTGTAGCGTGATCTGATTGCAGTACTAGATCATGAGATTTCCACCTGAGGACAACTGTGTGACGCTTTCACTAGCTTATCTGAATTGTAGTTTTCTTTTAAATTTTCCACACTTAAATTCATTAGCATTTAAGTGATGTGCAACCAGGCGAGAATCTATTGTTACCGATAAGTGAATTCATTTTGCAACAAAGAAGCTCTTTGTGGCAAAGGACCTCTAATTTATGCCATTTGCGATGAAACATAACATTGTATGACCTTAAAATAAACGTGTTTTTGAATAATCATAACTGAAATATTGCCATCGATAATAGATTTCTGATGTTATTTACTTACGTTTCCTTCGCAGCTATACCACTCGAATAAAGTGTCGCAACAAAAACGTTTCATAGTTACAGAAATTAAGCGCTGCAGAGACTCTAGCAAATAATCATCGACGCGTCTGTCACGATCAGAATTCAAGGTCGTTTCAAATTGTTATCGCTGCGCGAAATCAAGCTTTTAATCGTTCTAAATGCTTTTTTGCAATCTGTGTATCAAATGTAATTTAAGAAGGGCAGAGGCGATCGGTTGCAAACCAACTATGGTCCTGTAGTTATCAATTGATATAACAGTAATAACACAGAATCTCCTATATGTATCGATCGAAGATATCACAAATATTTTGACCATATCGATACTTTTAAGATCTTACTTGGGTAATAAATCGAAATATCATTCGGTGACTGAGGTTCTTGCCGTTTCTGCCCCGTCACAGACTTGTTACTTCCAGCGGCTTCAGTTTGTTCAGCCACAGGTTTAGGAGGGAGGGAGTGGCCGCCATAATCAACAAGAACTGAAAACACGGCAATCAGAACAAGTTGAAAGACCATTGTAACAAGTGTAAACTTCACCGCAGTTCCATTACGGCGAGTTCGCTTGTGCGAAGGACTGCTTGATCGCAGTGGTTGTCGCTGTGAGGATTCCATAGTGTCATCCATCTTGGAGAGCAGTCAAAACAACTATTACTTCCTAACTGTTACCTCGCTTGAAAATATCAATAAGTCGACTTGCAGGGCACGTGACGTCCTCATTAAGAATATGTAATACTACACTAAGTGCCGCAGGCGAATTGTATCAGTTTCCGGGTACTGATTGACTATTCTAGCCGTCTTCAAGTAGCTGACGTCGAAATTGCCGTTGCTTAAAAAAGATGATTAATTTCCTTATAATGAGGCAAGAATCTATATTGTAGATTAATAATAATAATAATAATAATAATAATAATAATAATAATAACTTTTATTTATATAGCGCTTATATCCTGAGCTCATGGCGCTTTACAACACTGTGCGGGGGACTTTACCAGACTGCTAAGCAGTTTACAATCAATTAAAGGCAAATCTAACAATGCCCCCTCCCTCCCAATTCCCAGTAAACAGGCCAGACCACATCACAGTAATCTCGTGAGTGGGTTCTTTAACGTCCCCTGCCTAACCAAATTAACTAATTAATAGATGCAGGAGACGGGACCTACNGATTTCTCATGCCTCGTCAGGTCACATCACGCGATAAATAACGATACAATTTTCAAGGGCTTTCTGTAATCAGTTGAACTTTAAACTCATGAAAAAGCCTTTAGAACGCCTTACTCTCACCAAATAAGCTCATGGTGGATAAGAAGATAAAAAATAACATTTTATTGACAGCTATCATCTTTGCTGGGCAGACACGAAAATTAATTTTGCGTCTAGGTATTGCCAATTGATAATCCAAATTGTTGACAGATGTTCATCAATGATCTTTATTCGCCGCTTCAATCGTAAAAATTTTTTGATCGCTGGAAAATTTTCATCGGTCAACACCTTTTCACCGAAAGTTCAAGTTATCGATTAAAAATGCATTATTGATTTCAAAAAACAATCTGAAAGGCGAAAAAGATTCAGTGAGTTCCCCGCTGTTGGAATGTCATTGAACATCGCGCAAAAAGGCACGATTGGGGAAAAACAGCTGCTGATCATGTGGTAAACAAAAGTGCACCGCAAGCGGCACGTAATGCAGTAACATGTTTGCGGTGAAACGATAAAAACGCGGTCAAAATGGGAAGTGCGTGGATAGGTAAAGCCGATTTATTCATAGCGCCCACCAATTATTCTCGTAGGCTGACCCGAGCGTTTGTAATTATTCTCGTAGGCTGACCCGAGCGTTTGTAATTATTCTCGTAGGCTGACCCGAGCGTTTGTAATTATTCTCGTAGGCTGACCCGAGCGTTTGTAATTATTCTCGTAGGCTGACCCGAGCGTTTGTAATTATTCTCGTAGGCTGACCCGAGCGTTTGTAATTATTCTCGTAGGCTGACCCGAGCGTTTGTAATTATTCTCGTAGGCTGACCCGAGCGTTTGTAATTATTCTCGTAGGCTGACCCGAGCGTTTGTAGTTATTCTCGTAGGCTGACCCGAGCGTTTGTAATTATTCTCGTAGGCTGACCCGAGCGTTTGTAATTATTCTCGTAGGCTGACCCGAGCGTTTGTAATTATTCGCGTAGGCTGGTTGGTTAGCAGATGTGTTTCAATCAAGTGACAAACTCGAATGCCAAGGTTCAAGAGTAAATCAAAAGGAAATCTAAATTTTCTACCCCATAAAAAGACCTCGAAAATGTTGGCTGTTCTAACCACAATTATGTCAATAACTAACATGCATAATACAAGCATTAACAGCCACCCGACCCCATAGTGGATGGGGTCGGAAACGATGAAATCTTTAAACAAGGAATTTAGGATAAGAAGCTTACTTACAAATCAAATTAGGTTAGCAGTTAAAAAAATTGTTATTGGGATAAACCGTTTACAGACCCTTCTTTCCCTCCGTCAACCCCCTTTAGTGCAAAGGCGAGTTGAGTACACACACTGAATCCTCAACAGCACCAAAGCGTATTTGTGTTGAGTAATGACATTTGTAGAGTTGTTGTTCAATTCTGCATTTTTTCTCTCTATGGTAGCTTGTCAGATTGAGCAGCATCCTTATATTTACTTCTTGTTGTTCCATTTTTATCATTCTTATTAGTTGCTTTGCTTCCCCTGGTATAATTTACGCGATATTGGATTACTCTCAGTGCTGTTGACATAAAAAAGGCATGGAACTTGGAACGATAAAAGATAGCAAATTTCATAACGCACTTAAAGTACGGCCTTACACTATCATACTGATAAAAAGCACTTTGAACGTTCAAAACACTTTTCAAATATTTAGAAATCAACAGCTTGTGGGAATCTCTAAGTAACATAGGGCAGAAAGCTGGCACTCTACAAAAATGCAAAATATTAATTTATTCTTGAAGACTGTTTGTTTGTTTGTTTTTGGTGAGGTGGGTTTGAAATCTTATACCATTTCACTTCGCAAACAGGGGCAACCTTAGATCTTTTAACAGCTTGAATTTTCAATTTCGAAAGCAGCTGTTAAAAATAATGACGATTTACTGAGACCCCTCTGATAGCGGAGTAACAAATACTGTGGTTAGAGGTTGGGAAGAAAGTGGGCGCTGGCCCATCTAAGTACATTCAAGAGACTTTTAAAATGTAGTCAGTCGTTCGCTGTCACAACTTGTGTTAATTTTTCATTCAGAGAGGCACGAAGACAAAGGTCAGACAACACTTAAGTTTGACGACTAGCTAGCATGATCCATATAAAATTTAAAAAATAGACATAAAATCAATTTCGAGTAACATTCTTAACTCGAGCTAAGCATTTCTGTATTGTACAACTCGTAGGGAATTAAGAGCATATAAATTTTCAAAAACAAAATTTCAGTCTGCGACGAATCCTTCAAAACAATGCACACTTTGAGGGGCTATGTCGAAACGTATTCAGTTCGATTGTGCCAAGATTATCAGATATCAAAGTTAGATTTGAAAGTACTTGAGATATAGAAAAAAATGCAGTTTATTTATTCACATTCATAGAAGTCAAGCGTAACCTACCACTAAAACAAAGTGCTTCATCAGAAAACAGTATTTGTCTCGTTCCTTCCATGACTCAAAAAAATAAAAATCGAAAAACATCATTGATCCCTCACGAGTGACCCACGCCTCGATGTCACGAGGACTTCACGAAAGCGCTAATATTTCTATTTCTGATCGATACGAAAGTCCTCTTTCCTATTATTTGCATTGGCGGCTAAAACTGTACAGCTTGCCAAATATTTCAATTGACAGATCTGGTATTTAACCGGCGTTGTTTGCAATCTGACCTTAAGGTCTCAAAATACGGTGTCCGTTTTCTTTGGTGGTTTCCGTTTTCAGATAAATGACTTGTTTAGTCTTTGAGCCGAGTTCTGGGCAGTCCGTACGTGACCAAGAGAAAACTAAAGGAAACCTATCAGAAACTTGGCCCGGAAATTCCATCTTATCAAATTTCTCTAACCTACGGCACAGCAGGATCCACTATAGATTTGACAGTTTTTTGGAGCATTTTAAATACAAAATGCTTTTCAATTTTACCAATTACACGAAAAACGAGAAGTATGTAATTTTTCCTCTTCTTGGATATCTTTTTCCAAAGGATATCCCACGGATATGAAGAAGAATCACTGCTTTGTTGATTGACGCTTAATGAATAACTTGTGCCATTTTACAAGCTCTTGCTGAGGTATTCCACACCCAACACATTCTGGCCGCTTTAGTTGCAAATATTTCAGACGCGTGCGAAATTCTTACAATGAATAAGTTGCTCAGTTTTATGCAGTCGACCAAAAAGATTACTAAAAAAATTAATTTGAGTTCTGAAACTGGCGCGCGGGAAAAAAAGGCTTTTCAAGGTTGTTATGGTCTGTCTGGTAGAAAACATGAAAGTTTCCTCTACCCGCTTTTTTCGCAATATATCGGATCTAAATATATCAGTAACAGTTATGACATACTCCTAGAACTGCTGTCATAAAACAAACTGAAGAAAGCCCTTACTTGGATAATATATGGTTACATCGTTTACGGCGAGCGTCTCAGAGGAATTCTGAACTGATCCTCCGGAACCTTTTCGCTTGTGCGGTGGAGAAGCGTGTTGGCCATAATCAACCAGGACAGAAAACAAAATCACCAACAGCACCTGGAAAATACCACAGATTAAGGAGAATTTGAGGCTCATTTCTAGGTTTTCTTTCTCAGTTCTTCGCTGTTAGTTTCGCGATGGTTGCAAAGTCACAGTCTCAGAGGCGCGCTGCAGGCTGCCGGCGACGGGGATGAATAAGTGAGCGCACGCTTTGCGTCAATGAGCTAACAACAGCGGAACGTGAAACTTGCAATATGAACCTCCCCTATTGCAAGGAATCGTTAAATGATTGGATATTTACCGCGTGAGCAGATTTCTCATGCCTCGTCAGGTCACATCACGCGATAAATAACGATACAATTTTCAAGGGCTTTCTGTAATCAGTTGAACTTTAAACTCATGAAAAAGCCTTTAGAACGCCTTACTCTCACCAAATAAGCTCATGGTGGATAAGAAGATAAAAAATAACATTTTATTGACAGCTATCATCTTTGCTGGGCAGACACGAAAATTAATTTTGCGTCTAGGTATTGCCAATTGATAATCCAAATTGTTGACAGATGTTCATCAATGATCTTTATTCGCCGCTTCAATCGTAAAAATTTTTTGATCGCTGGAAAATTTTCATCGGTCAACACCTTTTCACCGAAAGTTCAAGTTATCGATTAAAAATGCATTATTGATTTCAAAAAACAATCTGAAAGGCGAAAAAGATTCAGTGAGTTCCCCGCTGTTGGAATGTCATTGAACATCGCGCAAAAAGGCACGATTGGGGAAAAACAGCTGCTGATCATGTGGTAAACAAAAGTGAACCGCAAGCGGCACGTAATGCAGTAACATGTTTGCGGTGAAACGATAAAAACGCGGTCAAAATGGGAAGTGCGTGGATAGGTAAAGCCGATTTATTCATAGCGCCCACCCATGAGAGTAAAAGGAAATTAAATTTTCCTTAAAAAAATGCACAATATTTGAAGCGTGAGGTCAAGGGGAATGGTACAAACAGGGAAAGCGACTGGGCCGGGTGGTTTGCGAATGTTGGGTGGGTGAAAGCTGCGTGTATGAGGAGTTGTAGTCGAAACTTTAGAAGCAAGGTATCGGAGGATGCACCAGTTTATACAAAGTTGGACATCTGGTGGGGGTTGAAAGTGCAAACAACTCGGTCAGAGGGTCGGTCAGAAATCTTTTCCCAATAAATTCCTTCCTGCATTCTCTGATTGGTTGCAGACAAGTCCCTAAACATAAGTTCCTCGACCAAACAGCTCTTGCACGCTTAACTGTGCTCCTTTTTCGCTTATGCACCCCTCATCATATGCTCAGTTTCGCTGACCTTTGGAGTCCGCTCTTTGTTCTTGCCCTAGCCTGCGGAACTGACGTTTGTTTGTGTTTTTCGGGCGAATAGAGGTTGGTGCGAGACGAGGACGAAGCAAGTCGAAGCACGAGGCGCGAAGCACAAATCACGCGCGATGGAAAGGAAAAACGAGAACATTAAGTACGTTTCCTCTCACACCCCCTTCCTCGCGCGTGACTCGCGCTTACCTCTAATCGCCTGATTAGTGCGAAAAAATTACGCCTGTTCTGCAAGCCATTTTGAAGGCTATTCCTGCCCAAGAACACCAGGAAGGTGCGTTAGTTCTTTCCCGGACAGCTGTTTATCGAGCCTACTCTCCTTGTTGAAGTGTGAATCCGTGCGTGTGCAGCGTGGAAACGGAGCCTTGTTATACGAACCGGTATCTCTTTCGACTGCCTGCTAACAGCTTGCAGAAGCTTTCCCTCAAACTTCAAGGTGAAGAATCCTTCTTGCATTTTGCCAACGGTGATAGTGGCGTTACTAGTTATAATAATAACATTGATATCAGTAACAATAATTAAGATGATAAATATATAGTAAAACAGTGGATAGCGGTGAAGGCGCGCTCTGATTGACTAGTCAAACTCCGAATATCCTTTGCTATTTACCTCCGAGCAACTCGGGAAAAAATGGCGTGCCGGTTTGCATCCGTGACAAGCGAAGAAATCACTCAAATAACGACGAAGCAGTCCCTGAAAACACAGAAAGCGACTAAATTTGGTTTGGCCGTCTTTAAAGGTGATGGGAACTGGGAGTTTATCGATAAAAACCAATGAAAAAGGTTTTGTCTACAAATGCAAATTAATCTTGCGTAACCTCACTTGAAAATCAAAGTTAAATGGTATTTTTCACAGAATGGTTTCAAATACAGAAAGAGTTTGCAACACCATTTGAAGAAATGTCGCCACCAGAGCTAAACAAATGTCTTGAGAAATTTTATCTGTCAGCGAAAAAACGAGACGGCAGGTTTTACAACAAAAAATCACTTACCGCGATCCGAGCCGCGTTGGATCGTTACGCGCGGGAAAATATTGGAATCGTTGCTGGAATGTATGAATTAAAATCATATTTTTGGTGGTGTATATTATCTCACTGTTTTAGTCTATACTAAAACAACTATTCACCTCAGTGTCGGTGGTTAGGGGTGAATATTTACCTCGCCGCTTCGCGGCTCGGTAAATATCCACCACTAACCACCTCCACTTCTGTGAATAGTTGTTAATTAGATTATGATATTCTATGGCTGTGTTTCACAAGGACTGGGAACTACCGAATTCACGAATTTGATTGGCTGAAATCAATATTGAAAGCGGTCTAGATTTTCCCATCTAGAACGGCATCTAGACCGGTCTAGAAAAAAAAGGTACAAAGAATATAAAAAATTCGCATATAAGACACAGCAATATAATAAACATCTTATTAACCCAGCTAATTCAGTCTGTATGGGAGAATCTTGACCTCAGTTGCTGGTACAGACCTCACTGCGTTTGGTCTGTATACTGGCGACCTCGGTCAAGATTCTCCCATACAGACCTCCCGCTCGGTTACTAAGAACTAAATATTAATAATAATGACATTGATGATGATGAAGATGATGATAAAGACGATCATGACGCTTATTGGAAAGTTGTCTTTCGTGAAAATTTAGCGCAAAAATTATGCTTTAAAAGCACTTAATACGAAATGATTACAAGCCATAGTTAACTCGGGAAAATTATTTTATGACAATGAGTGTTGTGCTGTATAAACGTTTTACGAGTTATAGTTAGCCAATGATTGTCACGTGACTACAAACTCTTGTTCCTTCTCACTGCCCTCCCCCCTTGGGCGTATTCCTCTAAGATGGCGGGCCTGGCCGGTCGGACAATTTGCTGCCGTCGTTTTGTCGGAAAAATTCGTTATTTACACACCAGTAGGCAATGTTTTGACCAGTATAAATGCGTAGCTGTAAACGAAGTGGAATCCTTTGTAGAGCGATGCATGAGCGCGGTTGGAACACCTTTAGAACATTGCAAAGCTTTGGCGCAAGTTCTTGTTGCCGGCGATGAGAGAGGTCATTTCAGCCATGGACTCAATAGACTTGGTGAGTTCTGGTCAGAGTAGATGTATTTGCAGGCAGAGAGGAAGTAATACTGTTTCAATTAGGCAAGATTGCATTCGTGTAGATTTGATTTAATAATGCACGAGCCATAAGCATGGAACTTAATTTTTGCAGACAATCGCGCAGACATTCTTACCTTTAACGACAATAAAGACCTCGGTATCAGCTGTTAGCATGATAAACCACGCAACATAGTTATGCAGTATTAGAGCTTAAAATTACTAGGAAATCTAGGGCCAGTTTTAGCACGTAAATGTTTATCTATGTAATCCAACTACAGTATTTAAAAATTTCAAGTTGTCACTTAAAAACATTACTCAGTGTCATGAACCTGACTTTCTGCGGAACGAAAACTCCCTTCTTATTATTTTCAATGATTAAATGATTGAGAGATTTTCGCTTTTTTTCCCTGATCTTATCCCTTAATTCTGCTCGACTGTCACGAATAGTTAGGGTGAAATTACTCTTTAATGGAAGAGTTGACCCACAATCAATTTTTCTTTAGCAAGCTGACAGTTGCTTGCAAATGTTATTGAACAACAAGCAGGAAAGCTGATGCGCTTAATAATTTTTTCATACAAATTTTAGAAATGTATGTCCATGATATAAATGTGGGCTCCACAGTTGTAAATGGAGACCCTGAAATTGTCAAAGAGACCAGTGCTACAGCATTTGTTGAGGGAAACAATCTTCTGGGGCCAGTAAGTGTGCTCTTATGTTTTTCTTTAATTCCACCCTTTGACCCCAAAGAGCAACTACTATTTAATTTCTCCATCTGATACCACCCCTGAATCAAATATCAAGGTCCTAAGACTAAAGGAAATGATCACCAACTAAAGAAGCTCTTGATCATTGAACAAATTCTCCTTGTCAGCACCTTAGGAAATGTATAGAGAACAGTATGGAGAATATGCATACTGATGTTAGAGTGTGAAGGGTCGATAGAAAGATGTGGCCAATGCACTTACATCATCTTTTCCTCCCTGCTGTAATGATCTTGCGGTGATTATATTGGGGGGCTGCAACTGTGTAATTTGTCAGAGAAAGCCTAGTGCATGGGAATAGGTCTTCATAGAATGTTTTCACTATTCTAGTCACTCATAATATTAATTGGGAGGTAACAAGGGTGTGAACTTGTTATTAGCAGAATCTACGGTTATTGGCAATTAAAAATGTTATGACAGGAGTCTTTTTAGTGTTATCCACCCAAAAGTGATGTTCTGCCTAGTTGAACACTTAGTTGATTATGTGAACACATTAAATTTAGGAGTGCTAGGAAGGATTTTTCATCCTTTGAGTCTGTTTCAAATTGGTATTTTCAGTGTTGGTTTTTGTGGAGGGAGAAGGGGATTTTGGCTAGGATGGAAAAACGACCCAATCATTGTCAGCCTATAAGCTCAGGAAAGAACTTTTCAGTCACAGGTCCCCCAAATTTATCATGGGTGGACAACTGAACTTCAGATTTTTTTTGTTAGGCATGAATTTGTATCTACCGATGAAGCAGTCCTGAATTAGAAATCTCAATATCTCTTTTGTTTCACATAACAGGTTGTTGGAAACTTTTGTAATGATTTGGCCATGAAGAAAGCTCAGGAGACTGGAATTGGTTGGGTTGCTTGCAAAGGTTAGTAGGAAATGCCAACTTTTTAAATTATTATGTTAACTTTACCATGATCCTTTGCAGGGTCACTAATAAACATTTGTACTTACAAGCATTTTAATTGGTACTTAAGAACTTTTGGGGAAAAAAACATGACCAAATACTATCAAGTTTTACTTTAACTGGCTAACAACTGTTGTTGGATGGAATCAGCAATAATCATGATACCAACTTGAATATTTCCATTTAACAGGAAGGGTACAGCTCAGTGAACTTGATGTGACCTTTATTGTCCAGTTTGTTATTGGTACTCATTTTGCAAAAAAATCAAATAATATTTTGTCACTGTTGTAGGTTCTAACCATTATGGCATTGCTGGTTGGTATACAATAAGAGCTGTTGAGAAAGGACTTATAGTAAGTAAATTGTGAGTCTCTCTGATTTTGTAGCTATCACCAGCAAAGTGGAACATTTATTTTTTTTTTTTTTACTGCCTTTTTGTGTGATTCATATTGGATTTTAATGGTTTGGTGGTACTGAAAAATTAGCTTTTACATGAACACTTTAACTCCCAGAGGCAATTGACACGTGAATTCTCTGTGTGATATCCATACCAAATCCAGCAAATAGGTAATGGGCATGCTCAAACTTATCAGTGTCAGGTAGAAGTTACCATGATCTAGCACCAAATTCTCATAACTAATTTAGAAGGCATTTATAGCAGCCACAGGGGAGAATTAATTATCAATCAGATCTTGGAAGTTCAAGGGTAAGATGTGATATCTCGGCCTGTGCATGGATTTTCTCTAAACTTACATTTTTTTTCTCAGGGAATGAGTTTTACCAACACGTCACCACTGGTTGTACCTACAAGAGCACGTCAGGTACAGAGGCTGTTTCATCATTTTTCTAGATTTTGCTGATCCATAAGTATTGTTAGCTTGCTGGACTCATAATCCGCAATAGGTCTTCTTTGAGTCCTGAAAAGGGTTATTGTACTTAGCTCTTGGAAAAGACTTTTTCTTCCCCTATTATCCCCTGCATCCAGGAGTATGAAGGGGTACCCATGACCTATCAGGGAAGCCTAATGAAATGATTAGAGGGAGGGGTTCACAGTCAGTGATGAATTAGCATATTGCTGTTTGAAATACTCCCACTAGCTTCATGCGGGAAGTGTATCATTCATTAAGCACTTCAGATTGATGAATTCTTTGGCTACAATGACTTTATTTGGATGGTCTGTGCAATTTTTCGTTACCTTTACACCCTAAAAAAAGTATTTGTAAATTGTATTCTACTTATTACTGTTCTCTCTTCATTTTCTCTGGTAATGACATGGTGAAGTTATTTGACAATCAGGAGCTTCTTTAACTTGGTGATCATTTTCTGTACCCTCCTGAGCTTTATATTTGATTTAAGGGTGATACTGCAAGGAGAAAGTAATAAACCAGTCACTCTTAAGAGTTAAACAGTTAAGAGGTGGGGATTACTCTAACTTGTGCTACTAAAAACCAGCTTATTCTCCTGCTACTGCAAATTCCTAGAACTTAAAGAGGGAAGTGGTTGGTCAGCGGTGAGTGACCAAGATGGACGTCTGAAATTAAGCTCCGCTGTCTATGCTCAAATATACAGCTTAATCACTTTGTACATATAAATTTTTGATCACGGTTTCAGAGAAAAGAACAGTGGCTTGTGGAGGCCCACAGGGCTCCGTGCTTGGCCCATTGTTATTTTTGCTATAAACTATATCTATAATGCCTCTGAGAAATTTAAATTTCATTTGTTTGCTTATGACACCAATCTCTTGTATGGAAATAGCTAATTTTGTATGTTTATGTTGTCTTGTTTTTATGAATTTATTTAATTTAATTATTTTATATATTTGTGCATTTATTTATCTGCTGTTCTTTTTCTTTTCTTTTTATTCTTATACTTAAGCTGTAATGATCTTTTCATTTATAATTTGCTTTAGACTCTTAACAAATTGTTGTCACTGCCTGCCACGACTAGCCTGTTCTACTTGCAGGCAGTGTCAATTATGTAAGGTTTTTCTTTTTCTTTATTTTTTTCTTGAGTAATTTTTAATCATTGTAACCCCCCACCCCAATGCAAAATAAATTGTTGTTGCTGAAATTGTCTCAGCTTCCGATATGACCATGGAACATGATTCCCAACATGACAATTAACCCTTCACTGAAAGTATTAACAAACTTCTTGCTATGGTAACTAAACTGGTCACAGCTTGGAGTACTGCTCAGAAACAAAGAGACCTGTGACAAAATTAAGAATGGACTCTAAGTATCTTATAATGTGTATTTTTCAGTCTACATTGGGCACCAACCCTTTGTCACTAGCTGCCCCAGGAAAAAACGGTGACAGCTTTGTTCTTGACATGGCAACAAGTGCAGTGGCTCTAGGAAAGGTGAGATCAAAGCTCAGGAATAAAATTGCTCTGGTCAAAAGATGAATGAGATTTTTACTTTTATGATAACTGAGTGCAAACCCACATGTAGTATCATAAGAAAAGTAGTGTATTTTTGGTGTTTTTTTGATTAATGTTTTTTTAATTAACTATAATGAATAATGTTATAAACAATCTCTTAATCCAAAAACACGCATCAAAAAAATTTACTGCATTTCACACAAAATAATAATTATAAATACCAGTGGTGTTTGACTGTTCTGTTATTTTAGATAGAAATGGCAGATCGGAAGGGAGTTGAAATACCACATGGATGGGCAGTGGATTCAAAAGGATTGGTAAGAAAAGTGTTCAAATTTCAAGAGAAAAATTGTAGGAGTTTAGGCTTGATGAAAGTTTTAGTCCTTTTAAGTATTTTTTTTTTTTCATGTTAACCCTTGTAAAGTTATGTCATATACACCGAATGCAAATATGGCATCCAATTTGAGTTGCCATTGTTCTGGACTCACTAGCCTTGTCTTCACGTGGAAATACAAAAGGATTATTACATGTATGAGAGGCTAGTCAGTCCAGAACAATGGCAACTCAAATTGGACGCCATATTTGCATTCAGTGTATTCTTTACCAAAAAATACTTGTTAGTTGGATTATTTTGTTTAACAAAATTTATGACAGAGGTTATTGTTATGATATATGATATTCTTACCTTTGATCTTTTAATCCTTTACTCCCTAACATCAGTATGCATATTCTCCATACTGTTCTCTATACATTTCCTACAGTGCTGACAAGGAGAATTTGCATATCAATCAAGAGTTTCGGTTGTTATTGATCATTTTCATTCTCCTGACCTTAAGGTGTGATTTAGGGGTGATATTGTAAGGAGAAGTTAGATGTTAGTCACTCTTTAAGAGTTAAGGGGCAGTCAGACAGGTAGCTGTTGTCACCGATTAACAATATTTTGCTTTTTTATTGTATATTTTATACAAATAGATTCCAAGTTGCCATGGGTCTGTTCATTAATAGTAGATCACAGAGGACATCAAAATGTAGTAAGAACATTGATCATTCAGTAACACACTTGGCTGTGCCTTGTGTGCCACTTATTTGTTCTCACCACATCTTGACACGGCAACATGGAATCTGTTTATTTACTATCTGACAATCTTTTTTTTTTTTTTTTTGTCAAAGGAAACTGTCAATCCTGAAAAGGTTTTATCAGGAGGAGGCCAATTGCCTCTTGGTGGAACAGAAATAACAAGTATGTTAACATAATGAACAGCCTAATTTGAATCTTTCAGTGTATGAGAAGCCCGTGTTGAATTTAACTTACCATGCCCAAGGGAGGACACTTTGCTTTGCTTCTTGGTCATGCACTGAAAGAATCGTTTTATTTGATGTCAATTTTGTGGATGTTTGTGGTGGACTCACTTAGTTGAGCCTCGTGATTTCACAACATTTTGATCACTGTGATGAAAAATATTGTTGTCTCAATAAGAGTACAGACAATGCTAAACCACTCTTGATTTGTTAAATGCCAGCTATGTTTTTTTTTTTTTTTTTTTTTTTCATCTTCATAGTTTGTCTCATTCTTGGGTACTTTTGGGTGGTCAGTTTTAATCACGACAACCAGCTGATCCCAATGTCATCATCATTATTTTTATTTCTGCTAATCAACGTGAGCAATATTCCTTAATGGTGGGTGCAGGATAACGGCCCCATCAATTTAAGTTGAGGTGCAGTGTCGAACCTATTTATTTCCCCATAAATTGTGACTTAATAGTTAGCTTTTACATTTCCCTGATTGGTGAGATACAATTACCTAGCTTTATGACTATAGATCTACATGTAAGTTAAGTTAAAAGCTTGAATTTTCTTCTTTTTTTTTTTTTTTTGCTATTGAATTTTGCAAAGGGGTATAGGGAAAGTCCTTATGGCTCTCTTTTATGGGTGTTGTTGTTTGCAGGTGGTTTCAAAGGATATGGTTTAGCAATGATGGTTGAAGTGCTTTGTGGCATCTTAGCAGATGCTGCATTTGGTCCCAATGTACGAAAATGGAAGGGCGATGACAGGGTGGCTAATTTAGTAAGTAGGGGTACTCTCTTTACTTTTACAAGGATTGTTTTGCAAAATGACAAATGACATTGCATTTATGTATAGACAGGTTTTTGGGAGGATGTACTAATTGACATTGATTTTACAAGCAAAGATGGTTTCAATCCATCTTAAAAAGGGGCCCTTACTGCATATATGAATTAATTTGAAGAAAGGCAAGGTTCCTTTTTTGTCAAGTTTATGTGGAATGATTTTAGCCTGGGTCCAGCTGTTCAAAAGGCTGGTAACACTATCCAGCAAATAAATTGCTATCCAGTCAGCCCAATGGATAGCTATCCACCACCCAGTTAGCCCAATGGATAGTGCACTGTACTGTTGTGCGGGAGGTCAAGGGTTCGAGCCTTGGCCGGACCAACAATCGAGGTCTTAAAATAATTGAGAAGAATTTGCTACCTTTCTAAGTCAAGAAATGGTTAGATATTCTAGTCTTCTCAGATAGGGACGAATAAATGTAGGTCCTGTCTCCTGCAGTGTTTGGGTTGGAGACATTAATTTCCCACACACGAGATTACTGTGTGATGGATGTCTTCCCCTGGGGTGGGATGGGTGGGAAGGTGGACTAGCTCAAATGGTTCGTATGTTCCCTTCTAGTCCTTCCCCACTGCAAATTAATGCAGTGAAAATGGAATAAATTAAATTAAGTGTCAAGGAAGCTAACCATGCTCTCCACTGAATAGAGATTCATCCAGTGGATGGCATGGTCCACCCTTTGAACAACCAGGGCATGGTCCAGTTTTGCCAAATCATGCCCCTTCTGGCTTCATTTTGTCTTCACGCTTCAGAGTGTTAAATCATTTTTTGGTAAATTCTTCAGATATTAGATTTTAGTTCATCACTCTTATTGGAGAGTCATGGGTTGAACTCCCAAGATACAGAGTAGGGTGGAACTTAACAGGTGTGCAAGGCCATGGTGCTCTACATGTGATACTAAATGGTTACTGCTTAGTTTTGCGGCTTCCATGAGAAAGGTGATGTTCTGGCATGGACAATTACCTCTCTAGAAATTAGGCTTTCTGTGCTCTACGCATACACCAAATTGAAATATGGCATCCAATTTGAATTACCATTGTTCTGGACTTACTAGCCTTGTCTTCACGTGGAAACACAAAAGGATTATCGCATGTGTGAGAGGCTAGTAAGTCCAGAACAATGGCAGTTCTAATTGGACGCCATATTTTGATTCAGTGTATACCAGGGCTCAACACTAACGGTAGCCCACTAATCACAAACTAGTAGAAATTCAGTTTTGGCTAGTGGTTTTCAATTTCCACTAGCCAGTAATTGGCTAATAAACAGACCGAAATTGTCGTAACATCTAAAAGCACCTGAGATGTCACTAGCCACTTGGCTAGTAAGTTGAAAAGTTAGTGTCGAGCCCTGGTATACTGACTTATCAAGAGCGTTAAGCCTTTTTTCTTCCTTAGCTACCTGTAATTAGTCTACTTCTAACTTTGATATAGCTAATTGTTTTGAATTGATATTCATTTAGGGTCATTGTTTTGTTGCTGTTGATCCTAAAGCTTTTTCAGAAGGGTTTGAGGACCGCATGCAGTCACTTATGGATCACTGCAGAAATCTGCAACCGGTAAAACCATTTTAGTTGTCTTCTCAGGCTAAAACAATGCACCTAACTTTGGTTTTAATGTTATTAAGAACTAAATTATGAACCCAGTGTCCTGTACTGTGCCTTTCTATGGCTCTCTAAAATATTGTTCTGCCTCTCCCCCTCCCTGTTCAACGTCTCATTTTGTTCAACCTCCTTAATTTTGGCAATGTATTTTGGCCCATTTCTCTCTGATCTTGTAGTGTTGGTAATTACTATTAATTTGGCTGGTTTCTCAGTCAGTCATTTATGTGGGTGCAGTTGTTCAAAAGCAGATAATGCAATCCTTGGAATAAATTGCTATCCAGTAGATAGGTCTGAAAAAAACAAACTCGGCCATCCACAGGAAAGAGAGTTATCCAGTTATATCATTATACTCACCCTTAACACAACTGGAACCAGGGCAGCTTACCAATTACGCACTCATTCTGTCAGATCAGCCAGTGAGCCATGCAAGTGGTTTGATCCTTTGTCAGTTGCTCATTTTTCTTTTACAAATCCCCCCATTGTTTATATATTCTCCCTTAACAACTTCTCTATCAGATCAGTCTTGCTTAATATGTGATGATATCTAAGACCATGGCACTCAATTATTTTGGAAAGAGGTCTTTTAGGGAAACAATTACAGCCTAGATTTAAAGGCCCACATCCTGAAAGAGAAAAAAAAAATTTGTCCAATGTTGACTGCAACATTATAATTCCATAGGCAGAGGGCGAGACTGCTGTACTTGTAGCAGGAGACCCAGAGAGGGCCCACATACAAAAAGTAAAAGAAGATGGTGGTATTCATTATCATGTTAATTTGCTGGAAGCTATGGTATGTCAGTATAGATGCCAGTTTAGTAAAAATATTTTGATCAATGAAATGCTGGTGTTGGAAAGTTGTGAACTTTAAGTATTTTAAGTCTTTTCGTTATATAGACATCAATGAAATATCAGAATTTCTCCCATTTCAAAAACTTCATATCTTCAACCTGCCCAGTAGACATACAGCTGTTTCATTTAGATCTTCACACATAAAGGTAACAATGCCATCATGGTAACCATGAGGTTTATCAACATGGCAGTTTTCCTTCTCCCAAAGAGTTTTTTTTTTTAATTTATGAACATCACTAACTAAAGGTTTACTTGAACCATTTATAATATTATCAGCTCTGAAGGCTGAAATTGCAATTTCATATCCTCCACCTGTAATAGACCCTTTTTCTCTCGTTTAACTCTGTTACCTTAGCTGATTGAGATGTTACTTTTCTTCACAAGTTCATTACATCATCCAGAAAGCTGGTGATGAGAAAAAGACAAACATTGTTAAGGGGGAGGGGGAGGGGGCATAGCATTGATAAGACACCAAATCTTTTTACTGTTGCTATGAGGCAGCACAGAGCAGCTAGATGGAGAACTGCAAAGCTGATCAAGGGAGTTCAAGAATTATGATGTTCGAATAATGAATAGTAATATTGAAGTATTTTCTCTCTTTCTCTCTTTCTCTCCTTGTGATTCTAGGACAAGCTTGCGGACCAGCTTGGTGTGCCATGCATGCCAACAAAGTAATGCAACTCATGCATACATTACATTACTCCAGTCTTCAACAAAAGTTCTTTTACCAATGACCTCGTGTGCCAAAAAATCAACTTATTTTAGGACAAGGCAAACCCATTACAAAACACGCTAGTAAGATGCTAGCATAAGTGTAGGACGTCGTCCCCCCCCTGCCAAGTCTTGTCAAGAAAAAACAATAAGTTATAATGATACATAACATGGTAGTCCCTGAAATGCAAGCAATATTCTAATACAGAATCTCTCCCCCCTTGCCTTTTAGCTTAGCTTTGTGAAGAAAGAATGATATTTTATTATACATACATATGAACCTGGCATTCACATAATTGACAGTACGACAGTTTTGTAGGACTCAAGTGAATCCCTTCTCGGCTCTGTCTAGAAAAGTTGATATTCTATTATTAGAGAACAACCTGTTGTGGCCCCCCCCCCCCCCACCAAAAAAAATGCGAGTGTGGGCCTTTTCCCCTTCCCTCTCTCTCTTTAGCTTTATTTAGAAAAGTGACAATTTTATTCTAATGACAACTTAATGTGCCCCTAAAATGCCACTAAGACATGGTGTAGGAATTGACCCCCCTCATCTTATTTTTGTAAGGAGAAAGAAGTAGTTAATGTGAAATAACAAAAACTACTTGGTATGCTCCCAAATGTCAGGATAATGTTGTTTCAAGACCCTTTCCTCTTCATCTAAGCTTTGTGAAGAAAAAAGATATCATTTTTACTATAACCGTAGAAATTCTCGCGCGCTAATTGGTCGAGAGCCATTGTCAGTAAGGTTATAGATCTTAATAATGACGTATCATGTCACGCAATGCTCAGCAATCTGTCGAAGAAAAATGTCTTCGCGTGGAAACATTTGCAAATGTCAGAAATGTGGACAGAGAAGAGTTTCCCAATTTTAAGACTGGGATGCTAGCAGAAATTTTTAAAGAATTGGTCGAAACGGACGATCATGTCACGCGCGTGTGATTTTCCGTAAACTTAGCCACTGAAGCAGGTTTAACACAATCTTAACTTTATTTAAAAAAAAAAAAAACAAACAAATTGACATCAATTTGTTAAATACAGTAGTTAAAAAACAACCTGGAGTATGTTTTAATGTCAGTAAGATGTTAGTGTGGACCGATTTTGTGTGGGTTATTGGATAGTCTTGCTATTGCCACTTGTTAGAAAACGGACTCGGAAACGCCGAGTCACTGAGTGATAGGAAACTAGATTTATTAGTAGATATCTAAGAAATGAAAGCGCACAGGGAAGGGATAACATGCGTATGGTCACTCTATACAGTTTTGGCAAAAAATTCTTTAGAAGTATAAGAATTTGTTGTTTAGTAATTGTTAAATAGGTAGTTCTTAAGAAGTGTTCTATTGGAAAACAAAAATAGATAGACATCGTACGTTATGAAAGCATTTGCAGTAAGTTCGTTGTGATGAGTACTGGGAAGTGCCTCGATATCCAGGTAATATAACAACAGGAGATGAAATTGTCGCCACCCCGCTTATTGGGACCAAATCCAAGTATGACTTGGTCACGAGTCTGCGCTTGACGCTAGTTACAGACACCTTTCGGGTTCGTATTGGTGCATAATACAGTTTTACGATTAACGCAGCGTTTATTCTTTCATTTAAATCCTTAAACTTTTCCAGTTTGATTTACTCCAGTTGATGGAGTTTCCACCCGGTAGTGGAAGGTTGGGGTTTAAGTCTTCAGTTCACCTTTTGCAATCCTTGTCATTTTCCTTCATCTTTTTGCTTTATCCGGTCTATTTTGGTGTATGTTCAATCTTCTAAACTGATATTTTAAGTTCCCTTGACTTTGGTTACTCGGTTCTGAAACAAAATTAAACTAAAGACGTCTGGGTATCCCTTGAACGTGTTCGTGATGGTAAAATAAACGTAGAGTTGTCTTAAGGTTTTCAAACTTACTTCGCCTAACACTTCACTATGTTAAAATTTTCCACAAGTAAAGCCGGTTGAAAGTGTCATTCCCTTCAAAGATTGTCCTCACGAGCTCTTCGATTAGTTACTACACTTGGTCTCGCGCATGCGCGATGGAGCATCGACGACGATTTGTAACTGGTCACGAATGACTCCGTATTTCTAACTCAGCCCTCGTACAGAGCGCCTGAGTAAAGACTTGAAGCGGGAAAATAAAAATAAGCAAATGGACTATGAGAAGTCGCGTTGCAGCTTGTCTGAAATTCAACTAATTACGCTTTTTGAAGATGCTAATTCTAGATCGGAAATGTGAGAGACTTCAAATTGAATTTGAATTGGAGTTTAGCGCAATTGGTGTTTTTTTTTAACAAAGTCTTTTAAGTACAAGTTTAATTGAAAAAAAGGGAAAAAAAGAGTTAATGGAGATGTTGGCCACAATTTTAGATGCAAATTTTCGTGTTTATAGAGTACATCTTATAATTACCATGGTAACAAAGCGTTCCCTTCGGCAAAATTAAAAAATTTTAGAATTTAAAAAATTATTTGTCATTTAAGGCGGAGGTACAGCTGAGATCACTGATCCGTCAATTGTCTTAAAATTGTAGGCCCACCACCAATTTACTTATACTTAGTTAGGTGTCATTATAACTACCCTTTTTTCTTATAGAATTTCTCGATAGAGAATTCGCACCGTCAAAAATAAAAAAATAACTTCAATTAGGCTAAGAAAAAACCCAGGCTAAATTGCAATATATTATCGCGAGAAATTTTATTGTGATAGCAAAACTTGGCAGCTGTCTTCATAGCGCCTGAAACACATGTCAATCTTTAAACAAACGTCGCTATAGTTACAGCTTGCAAAGTTATTTCAGCTGCAAATGTCTGTTAGCTTTTTTGAACTCATCTCGCCAGCCTATCAATTATTGATAACAAACCACAGCAGGTCTGTATTCACCAAGCTGATGTTTGGAACGTTGTTGTGGGAACGTAGTAATATTTTCGGTATCAGCCCGTTGCGAAATCGGAAGCTCATAGAATATATTGTATCGGGAATGATTTCTCTCTCTTCGTCTGATAATCTTACACTCGACCTCATGACTTGAACGTGGACTGAAGATGTCTGACAGACCAGTTCTATGCGCAGCTTGTAGCGAGCCCAGTCCCGGGCCAATAAGGCGTTTATACTATCAGCCACGAAAACATGGTCCATTCTTTCCTATACTGGAACAACAGAAAGTTGGAATCAAAGCAAGTTTATTTGCCGGAGGACGAGTGGCCGTCTGTACAGGCTGTGCCAGCCATTTGCAAAGACAGTGGATCGCATTTGAAAAAAACTGGACTCCTTTGGAAAAACGAACCTACACACTCTTAGCAGGTATATACGATGTTATCGAAAGAGTCTGAATTTATTATTAGAGGCGAGACAATTCTGATATCTTTGCAGTTTATCTGAGGTTAAGTTATGAAATATATATGTATCGTCCGCGGTTATTAATCACCAAAATGAGCGTAAGTGAACTAGTGCTCGATAATGCAAACAAATGGTTGATACAGCTTCTCAGCTATCCATCAGTGACTCAGCATGAATGATTATTTGTTATGATGTTAGCCAGATAAAGCAAAGTTGCTCTGCCAATTTATAAAATTGAGTTGCCTTTATCGTAATGAAAAAGCCGTATCGTCTGTTTTCGTCGCGTCCTACCATTGCTAGTCCAACACATTACAACTCCTAATAAAGGGAGGTTAGAAGTTACAAGACTCTAACCTGTAAAATAATTGTTTTCAACCGCTAGTCTGACCAAAAACCTAAACAAAAAGAATCATTATTTGCAACACGTTACTTTGGCAGAAGGCGTCAAATACTTAACGTACGTGTTACTCCTCAAATCAAGAACTGAATCTATTTTATCAATTATTCGCCTCAGGTTCGGTGAATATCGTCGAATAATCCCCCAGACGAAGCCGAGGGGATTATTCGACGATATTCACCGAACCTGAG